ACCCGACACTGGCCAACAATCCACCCCGAATAAAATTGTTCATTCACTTCATGGCTGTTTGTGGGACATTCTGCTGTACACGATTGGGCCCCATGTTTGCCTACAAATCCAGTAAATCCTAGGAAGCACTTTGGGGCGTCTTTCCAATGTGAAAGGCGCTGCACCAAATGTAAGGATGATTCTTATTAGATGTGCCAAGGCAGCAAGACTCAGGAAAGTAGTAAGATTGGTATTGTGGAAGGATAAAATCAAATAAGACAAGGGACCTGAATCTTTACCTGAATCTCTCCTCAGATCTTGTGAGAAAAATAAAATAGCAAAAACGAAATGAAAATGTTCGTAGAAAAGAATTAACCAGGTGGCCTCAAGGCCCCAAGAACATTTCTCCTATAAAGAAGGATATCATTCTGAGTCTTTAGCAATAAATTGTGCGATGGGTTTCTATTTTCCTACAGAAACAATGAACAAATGCAAGATTTTCTCTATTGTGTGGTCTTGAAATGACATAGGGATCACCAGATTAATCCTGGCATAGCCTTCAAGAGATGTCAGAAGACTGATGGCCAGAAGGCTAAAGTATCCATCAGGGAATAGCTTGGGAACCAGGAAATCAGGTAGTCAGAGAGGGAGTGACTGTGAATCAGCTGGTCATGATAACATAAGTGTGTCCAGTACTGTTAAAGAACATTGTGGATCCATCTGACTAGAGTTTGGTAAACTACTGTATGTTACTCTCTATTGTGGAAAGTTTGGTTTATCAGCAGCAGAAAGGAACATTAATCAGGAAGTCCAACACAACTGTCAGGAAGTGAAGACTGGAAGTTGTGGCTTGTGGTGTGAGACTAACAGAAAAATAACAGGCCTCAAAGAACCATACAACACTGCAGCACAGAAGCTCATTGTATTTCCGTTGGCTCTTTGAAAGAGCATTCCTTTCAGTCCCATTTACTTGCCTTTGCCCCGTACACCTGTAAATGACTCCTTGTTCCCTCTTGAAAGCTAATAAGCTAAGCTAAGTGCTCCGAGGCGCTAACCTGCGTGGAGGGCGCCCTATAAGTGCAAGTTGTTGTTGTCATAGGGGTACTGCCTCGACTCACCACTCCTAGCAGGAAATTCCACATCCTAACCACCCTCCGTGTAAAAAGATTTCCACCTCTCCTCAAATAGACATCAATTCATATCAACATCAATTTCTTGTCTCAGATCATTCGCTGTGAAGTGGTCAGTTCTCTATGAACCAGAGTCACCAAACTCTGTTAACGGGATGGCTGCACAGGCACTGCAACTATACAGATGAAACCATCATTTTATCATGAAAAAAAAATTCCAAAAAAAAGATGCATTTTCCATTGGATTTTCTTTACTCACTATCTTGCCTCTCTTAGCTCTTTGGGACGTCCTCCCGACGTGAAAGGCGCTGTATAAATGGAATCTTGTTGTTGTTGTTGTTATTAATGGCTGCCACTTATTCATTAATACTTTCCCACCACAAATAGACAAGCAAAATTATAATTTATCACCACAATATCCCTTGCAATTTATTTTCCTTCCAGTTTTCACTCGCCATCCGAGATTATCTTTTAAGCCATCAAATGTGCATCTTTCCAACCTCCCGACTGCGCTCAAATATTTTAAAGATTCATACTTTTGGTCTGTTTTGAGCATTCATGTTTCATCGTATACTCCTTGGGATTCATGTCAACCTTCCATCTCAAGATCATAAATGTGTAATTTACAATCTCTTCAATATATCTTAAAAATCCACCTGTTTTTGTGTGTTACGTTTTTCCTTCCTCGATTTACCGAAACATTGAACCCCACTTTAACCCTTAGACTAACTAAGGGAACTAAAGATTTCCTGCCCTGCCACACTTTCACATATTCCACTTGCACATCATGATGGTGAAAAATCTCCTAATATTACATGAGTAAAGTTGCTCAGATGTCAGTAGTAATAATAATCCTTGCATTTGATATATATAGTGGCTTATCATGTAGTTGAAACGTCACAAGTAGCTTCGCAGAATATAATGTAAAGTGGATTGACTTTGTATTTTGTGGGCGAAACCCAGCAGCGAATTGCGAGGCACGTGCCCGCTAAACAGCCATGAATTGAGTGAGCAAATGTTTTCAATCTTCTCCGCCACTCAGGAAAACGGCAAAAACCGTTTTGCTACCGGGTCGGATAATTAGGACAACCTAAACCTAATCCAACAGCTGTTGGGTCCTTCTGTGTCGCTCTCTGTTGCGGACACCCATTGGCTTTTCAAGTCTTGTACTCCAAACAGCAACAGAAGAGCAGAAGTAATACCACAAAAAACGTTTCCCTTGTATTTCTTCCCTCGCTTCCTGCTCTTCAAACGTGTTGCCCGAGGGGCTGTCAGATGCTACATTTCTGCTCTGCTCCCACAAGCTGCGGTTTCAAATAAAATCCCACAATTGCTCTAACTTCCCAGTAAATCATAGTGCAATTAATCGAAAAGGTATAAAATGTAAGCAAACTGTCAGGGAGGTGAGTTAAAAGTAATTGTTGTATTATAATCACTCAACGGCAATATTTTTTTTGGGGGGGAGTGTCTCTTAGAAGCGAGCACTTAAGTCTGGTTTATGTTGATGGAAGCGATTCAATATGGTTTCCAGAGTAGAGTAGGGATTTGGAATGGAGAGCAAGATTTATCCTTCCTGTTCTAAATTGCTCTCCATGGGGGGGAGCTAAGGACAGCTCTGTGAATGCCAGTCCCTTAAACTATTTGCTGAATGCTAAACCTTACTCCGAATATCTTTCATATTCTCCTTGTTGTAGAGCAGATGTTCAATTGAGTTCATTGCTTTATCGTGTTGTCGAGTGATCTCAAATTACTTCACAGAACTTGGGACGAGGGAGAGGGAACAGAAGTTCGTGGGAAGGAGTAAAGAGTGGGTTTAATAATAGTACAATAATAATCGGTGCATTTGATACAGCGCCTTATCATGTCTTTGGGATGTCTCTACAGGTTAAAGCACTCGCCTCACAAGCGAGAGACCTGGGTTTGATTCCCGGCAGGTCAGGGCGAAACCTAAGGCAAGTTTCCTTACTCCGCACGCCTGATAATAATCCCTCAAGAAAAAAAACCAATAAATTGATCACTTCAATCCACGACTGTTTGTGGGACGTCGCTGTGCGCAATTGGCTGCTGCATTTTACCCACAACATATACAGTCAATTCACTTTGCAGTATATTCTGTGAAGCGCTTTGAGACGTCTCGGAGATGTGATAAGGCGCTGTGTCAAATGCGAGGATTATTATTATTCATTATAAAAGCGCTTCACAGAATATACTGTAACGTGAACCGACTGTATTTTTTGGGGGGGGATAAACACGGAGTAGGGGCTGTTTCCAGTGCCGTATATTCTTTGTAAATCTTTGGAGATTTACTGTTGTCACGCGTAGTGGCTGTGTATTTCGTAGGCAAACACCGCAGCCAATTCGCACACAGTGATGTCCCACAAACAGCCACAAAGTCAAATGACATATGGTTGTCGGCCAGGCCAGGCCAGCGGGAGTCACCCCCTTCTCTTTTCGGGCAGCACCGAGTGATCTTTTAACATTCAGCCGGGACCCCCGATAAATAGGAAATAATAATAATAACCCTCGCATTTGATACAGCGGCTGATCGCGTCTTCGAGACGTCTCGGGATACACCGTAAAGTGAATTGACTGTATATTTTGTGGGTGAAATGCACCGACCCCCACCCCACCACCCCCCCTTTATGGGGAGTGAGTGAGGACAGGTTAACACACAGGATGTGCACACATTTTTTTTGGGAACACAGTGGAAACACGTGGCGCTGGTGAGTCTGTTTCAGACTCAAGTCAAGGCTCAGATTTCTCTCTCTCTGTGTCTGTCTGTGTGTCTGTGGATCCTCTCTCTCTCTCTCTCTATCCCTCCCTCTATCTCTCTCACTGTGTCTCTCTCTCTCCCTCTATCTCTCTGTGTGTGTCTCTGTCTCTCTCACTCTCTATCCCTGTGTGTGTGGCTCTCTGTCTCTCTCTCTGTGTGGCTCTATCTCTCTCCCTCTCTCTCTGTGTGGCTCTGTGTGTGGCTCTCTCTATCTCTCTCTCCCTGTCTCTGTGTGTGGCTCTCTCTATCTCTCTCTCCCTGTCTCTGTGTGTGGCTCTCTCTATCTCTCTCTCCCTGTCTCTGTGTGTGGCTCTCTCTATCTCTCTCTCCCTGTCTCTGTGTGTGGCTCTCTATCCCTCTCTCCCTCTCTGTGTGTGGCTCTCTATCTCTCTCTCCCTCTCTGTGTGTGTGTGTCTCTCTCCCTCTCTCTGTGTGTCTCTATCTCTCTCCCTGTGTGTGTGTCTCTCTCTCCCTCTCTGTCTCTCCCTCTCTCTCTCTGTGTCTCTCTCTGTCCCTCTCCCTCTGACTCTCTCTGTCCCTCTCCCTCTGTCTCTCTCTGTCCCTCTCTCTCTGTCCCTCTCCCTCTGTCTCTCTCTGTCTCTCTGTCTCTCTCTGTCCCTCTCCCTCTGTCTCTCTCTGTCTCTCTGTCTCTCTCTGTCCCTCTCCCTCTGTGTCTCTCTGTCCCTCTCCCTCTGTCTCTCTCTGTCTCTCTCCCTCCCTCTGTCCCTCTCCCTCTGTCTCTCTGTCTCTCTCTGTCCCTCTCCCTCTGTCTCTCTCTGTCCCTCTCCCTCTGTCTCTCTCTGTCTCTCTCCCTCCCTCTGTCTCTCTGTCCCTCTCCCTCCCTCTGTCCCTCTCCCTCTGTCTCTCTGTCTCTCTCTGTCTCGCTCTGTCCCTCTCCCTCTGTCTCTCTCTGTCTCTCTGTCTCTCTCTGTCCCTCTCCCTCTGTGTCTCTCTGTCCCTCTCCCTCTGTCCCTCTCCCTCTGTCTCTCTGTCTCTCTCCCTCCCTCTGTCTCTCTGTCTCTCTCTGTCTCTCTCCCTCCCTCTGTCTCTCTGTCCCTCTCCCTCCCTCTGTCCCTCTCCCTCTGTCTCTCTCTGTCCCTCTCCCTCTGTCTCTCTCCCTCTGTCTCTCTCTCTCTCTCAGTGACTCACTGGGGGTTTATTTATAGCCGTTGTGTTGGACGAATCATTTCGGGGCTTCGGGGGCAGTGAGAGTTGGTGTTCGCTGTGGTGTTCGCTGTGTTGCAGAGGGAGAGGGAGAGAGAGGATGGAGGCGGTGGCGGTGGCGCAGTGGCTGTGTCTCTGTGCGGCGGTTTGCAGCGGCTCTCAGGGTGAGGACTGCGCTGAGAGGCGATGGGAATTGGAGGGGAATACTATTCGCGCACATTGTGTCGGGTCTCTGCTGCTGAGACCTCTCGTGTGGGGTTTGTTTTTCTCTCCTTCGTCATTTGCGTCTGGAAATCCGTGGCCACAAACTCCTATTTTTAAGGGGAACGCGATGTTTTTTTTTGGGGGGTGTGGGGAGGGGGTGGGGTGTGTGTGTGTGGGGGGGGAGGGGTGTGGGGGGAGGAGGTGTTGTGGTTATTGTTGTTGTTGCTGTGGTGTTGTTGTTGTTGCTTTTCGTTTTAAGTCCTGAGTTCAGTTTGTGACGGTGGATCTCTGGTCCTTTTAATGCTTAAAAAAAGGGGGGGAGAGGGGGGCAGTTAGTTCAGGTCGGGGGGGGGGGGGGTATGTTGGGGGGGGGGTTGTTAATTTTAATGCAAACCCATTAACCCCCCCAAGCAACCCCCCCCACCCCCCCCCCATGCAGCCCCCATGCAACCCCCCCATGCAACACCCCCACCCCCCCATATAACCCCCCCATGCAACCCCCCCATGCAACCCCCCCCCCCCCCCCCACACACCTTACCTTCTCCCGGCTCTCTGATGGCTGTTTATTTATCTGTCCCAACAGTTGGGTTGAAATCCCAGTCCTGCACTGGGGTCTCACGGCTTTGGGTGGAGGGGAGAGAGCGAGAGGTTCAGAAATGTTTTTTTGCTTCGTGTTTACAGCCTTTTTCTGTGTCTGTGATTGGTAAAACAAAAATTGGGTTACAGCTCTCTCACCGCTTGTCATTTCCTGGTGTTTTGCAATAATTTGATTAATTTTAATACTGTGCGTTTCCTGCCAGAAGTTTTCATTAACCAAAAAATCCCGAGTCAGTCAGTCAGACAGTCAGTCGGACAGTCAGATCAGGAGCGAATCAATAAATGCAAGGCATTTAGCGTCAACTGACGGACTGCCTTTTTTAAAAAAAAAAGCAATAATAATCCTTGCTTTTGATACAGCGCCTTATCAGGTCCTCGAGACGGTCTCAAAGCGCTTCACAGAATATACTGTAAAGTGCAGCGACTGTATATTTTGTGAGTGAAACGCAGCAGCCAATTGCGCACAGCAGCGTCTCCCACACACAGTGGTGGAGTGAGTGACCAAATTTTTTTAAAAAGGGATTATTACCCCCAGAAAAACTGATCCGCCAATCGACTAACAACCGGGTTACTACTTACTGCTGGTAAAGAGCGGCGCGCGGAGTAAGGAAACTTGCCCAACGTTTTGCCCCCCGCCCGGGAATCAAACCCAGGTCCTCTCGCCCGCCGTTGAGCTACTGGATGCCAATGGGTTGCTTTCGTTTCAGCTCCGGGATATGAAACGCAACTCAAATTGCAACGTGTAAACTTTTCCCTTTTTTGGAGTGCTTCTGCTTAGGCCTTTATTTAGGCTGCAATTGTGATTTGGCAGGACTCCGATCTGCTGAATACTTTGAAGGACTTCACGCACGTAAAAGATCCGTTACCGGCTTCTTTCATGTTGCAAATAGCCCCCTCGAGACGCGTGCCTATCTCTCTCAACGGTGTGCTAACTCCCCACGTCCAGTTCACAGGTTGAAAGTTGTAAGGATAACGATCCTTGCATTTGGTATAACACCTCCTCACGTCGTCGAGACGTCTCGAAGCACTTCGCAGAGTACGCCGTTAAGTTAATTGGCTCTAATTTTGTGGGTGAAATGCAGCAGCCGATGCTCAAATAACGATTTTGTTGGTTAGTGAACAAAGAATCTAATGTGACACAATATTAAAAAAAAATTATACCCTGAGAAATGTTATTTATATGTAATGGATAAACTGATAACTCGTCACTCCAACGGAAAAGGGCTCAGTGACAAGTGGCGAGTTAGGCACACGTGTAAATGCGTCAATATATGTGGCCGGGATATTGACAGAACGATGACTTAAGCGGTAGCGACAAGATAGGTCAGGGTCGAGTTATCAGGAGCTCACTGTACACGAATAGGAACGAACACAATTGATTCATTTGGGGGGGAAAAAGTAAAATGGCCGATCTTTGTTTTGTGACAAATGTTGCACTTGTGTGGATTGGGGAACGCAATTATCCCAAGTTTTCTTTCTCCCGAGATTATCTTTTGAAAGGAGCTTTTGTGTAGAGTGTCCTTGAAGACGCTGAGTGAGTGCGCGGTGCTGCGGTAACCAAGTTGCGTGGCGTTGAAGATCGCCTGAAATAAATAGTCAAAGGGGGGGAAAAAAAAACAACGAGTGAGGGGGAGGAGGGGGAATAAAGAAAGTTTTACGCTGCAGGAAGTGTGACATCGTTTGCTCCACAGACTAACTGAGTGATGCACACGATTGTCATATTTCAGTCACTTTTTTTTTATCCGATGACATGTGAATATTAAACTTGTTACTTAGATATTAAATGTATATAAAAATAATAATTGTTTGGTCGCTCAATCCACGACTGTTTGTGGGGACGCTGCTTTGCGCAATTGGCTGCCGCGTTTCGCCCACAAAATATACAGTCAATTCACTTTACGGTATATTCTGTGAAGCGCTTTGAGACGTCTCGGAGACGCGATAAGGCGCTGTATAAAGTGCAAGGATTATTTTTGTTCTTCCATTTCTCCCAATTGCGTGGGTCAGCACCACATGCGGGGAGGGCTGGGAAATTTGCTCCGAGCTCCTTGCTGACGTTGTTCTGAGAGCAGATGATAATTGCCTACAAAGATCTTTCTCTCTGTTCCCACACCACCTGGGGGAGGGGAAGCTGTGTGTTGTGTGCGATTGAGATGGGGAACTCGAGACAGATAATAATAAATAGACCATTAACAGGCCTTACATTTGACGTAGCGCCTTTTACGTCGGGAGGACGTTTCAAAGCTCTTCACAGGACATTCTGTAAAGTAAAGTATACCTTCTGTGTTTTGCAATCAAATGTGGAGAACTGTGTGGATCGTGTACTCTGGGCTCCAGTGTATTTTGTTGGTGATTGTGACAATCTGGCACCAAGATGTAGTTGTGAATAAGTCAGATGTCTGCCTTGCACTGTTTTTTATTGCTTGCTGTTAAGCATTCTGCTCTTGCTACATGTAAACGCCAAGACGTTTGATTGCGTTTGGCAATGAATTCCACTTAACAATAGCTGTGTTCACTTAACAGTAAGTAGGAGCTTCTAACCAAGATTGCTCTCCATAGGAATCGTTCTATCGGATTTACGTTTGATCTATTATTAGCCATGTTAATGATATTGTGAATGTTGAGAGCCGCTGTTTACCTCGCAGCAAGTAGGAACCCGGTTGCTAGTCAGTTGACGGATCGCTTTTCCTGTGGGTAATAATCCCTTACAAAAATAATACTTTGGTCACTCAATCCACGAGTGTTTGTGGAGACGCTGCTGTGCGCAATTGGCTGCTGCGTTTCGCCCACAAAATCTATAATCAATTCACTTAACAGTGAAGGGCTTTCAGACGTCTCAGACCTGATAAGGCGCTGTATCAAATGCAAGGATTGTCATTATTATATGGTAGATGTCTCGAAGAGTTTTATAGGATTTGTTGTAAAGTATAGTGACTGTATTTGTAGTGGAACAAAAGCTCTTTCATCTTCCCAGGTAAAAGGCCCACTATGTATTCCGTTTCCCTTCCCACCTGATCAGAGGTGATTCATGTTCTATTTGGTTGGCTCCTAATCCACCCGTAGCTTCTTTGGACGAATGTAAATTTCCCAGTGCATCTTTGACACTCAAGAGCGTTAGGGTGTTAGGTGGGCCTTTAAGAGAGAGGAAACGTTTCAATCCTATTTTAACTGTAAAACTCAAAAGTATATGTAACCAACATGGTTTATTGTAAGGCCATGTCACAGCTTGAGGTGCACACATTGTCCCTACACGCATCTCACTCTTGGTTGACTGCAGTTTGCCAGCAACTACGTAGGTAACTCCGGAACTCTCTCCCTCAGTCCCTCCGCCTTGCCTCTCCCTCCCCACCTTCAAAGCCCCGCCTAAAGACTTTCCTTTTTGATCGTGCTCGCAGTCACCTTCCCCCCCACCCTCTCCCCCCGGCTCAGTGTCAGACTCCGCCACTGTCAAGTGCTCCGGGATGCTTACCCCACGTGCATATAAATGCAAGTTGTTGTTGTATTTGCTCTGAAAACACAGGGTGAAGACCAACACAATCTCCATAACAATGGAAAGGCACATGTCCTCCGAGGCCAATCGTTGTTGGGATTTGCAACTGGCTTTATGCCGACTAATTAATCCGTCCGGACAAGAAATTGATTCCTGGACGTGTGTGTGTTTCACTGTTGAGTATCACGACAATGCAATGACTCCTCTCCTCTCCCTCGGTACACGTGGGTCCACGTGACTAGACGGGTTCAGATCCAATACGCTGCTGCAAAAAAACTTTTTTTTTTTCTGTGCGCAGCAAATAGACAATTCTGACTTTTAAGCAAAAGGAATTAAACGGGGAGAGGGAAGGGCAGCACACGGGAGGGGGGGGTGGGCACGGGAGTGGGGGGGTGGGCACGGGAGTGGGGGGTGGGCACGGGAGGGGGGGTGGGCACGGGAGGGGGGGGTGGGCACGGGAGGGGGGGGCGCGCTGGAGAGGGAGGGGGGCGCGCTGGAGAGGGAGGGGGACGCGCTAGAGAGGGAGGGGGGCGCGTGAGAGAAGGAGGGGGGGGGGCGGGAGAGGGAAGGAACGAAACCAGCTTCTACAACTCAACCTGAAATGTCAAGTTGGGTCTCTACCAGGGAATTTCTGTTGCTTTGTGTATCTTGAGATTACCGAGAGATGTGACCTTGCTGTGATTTACAGAATTGTAAATAGGTTTGAAATCCGACGGCTTTTTTTATCTGCTTTTTTGAAAAGAAACTAAGTGACCGACTGCCGTGAAGGGCGAAGATTTGTAGTTACTAAGAGCACCAAGGTTGAAAAGAGCAGAAGGATAGAGAGAGGACGTGAAGTGATGGTTTACAGACTGGTTCGCCCACAAATATACA